ACTCCTACCCTTCTTCCCCAAGCATCCATGAAAATCATTCTTTCATGCCTTGCGGTCGCATCCACAAGTTGATCAACTTTGAGTAAGGGATAGTCATCTTTCAACAAGCCTTACTAAGAGCAGTGAAGTAGACACTCCATTTCCCATTTTTCTTCTTTGGGTAGACAGTTTTGGATAGTCACTCCAAGAACTAGATATCTCTAATGGAGTTAGCATCCAAGAGTCGATCCTCCTCATTTTTAACCACATGAGCATGGTGTAGTGTTGACCTCTGAGTTTGACAAGTTTGAAGGTTAGGTCCATATGGAGCTAATGGATAATGACTTCATACTTTATTCCCCACATCTCATAGGACATCTATGCAAAGATATCTACATTACGTCGAAGGAAATCCAACCAACATTTCCTCCTGCTTGCCCTTCGTCAGCAAAGACCCAATGAGGAAGAATCAATCTTTTTCCCTCGGGTGGAGGAAAACTGTAGTGAACTCCTCCATGGATCGGTCGGTTAGCTCCTCCTAGGGCTCATCAATTTTGTGCCGACCGATCTTTGATTGATATTTTGCCAAAGCGGTCTTCAGGTCCTGCTTTTTAACTTTAGCAGCAACCCAAGTCTTGATAGTGGCATAGAAGCAACTTTTGGAGGCAAACTAATCCTCACATATCTCCACGATCCCCTGGGAAGTAGAGAACTTTATCTTCTAGTGATAAGACGAGGGGACCACCTTCATGGAATGCAGCCACAGTTTCCTTATGATGGCGTTGTTAGGAGAGTTAGAGTTAATCATCACAAATTCCACTAATAGGGTAACAATCCCGGCTATTACTGAGAAGGTGACCTTGCCAAGAAAGGACATAAGAGCCATTAAAATCCACTAGCGGGTCTTCATGGGTTTTAGGTCCTTGGGTCTGAACTCCATTTTTTGGAACAGATTTTGGTAAATCATCTGGAAAAACCTTCCCTAGTCTACCAAAATGCACTTCACGTTGAATCTCTTGATCCTCAAGGTGATGATCAAAGCTTCCTTATGAGGAAGGAAGACCTTTTTCGAGTCGGCATTAGTGAAGGAAATTGATTTTACTTAGGTGTGCCTCTTCTTGGCTATTTGTTCGTTTTCCTTGCCCTCCACGACCTTTCTGGCCTGGGCCACCCCTTTATAGGATAGCTCGTAGGGAGTTACAAGTTTACGGGAACAAACTTAAATCACTTCAATGACAGTGGTGGCTTCCCCCGCTGCCATATTGGAGTGATNGGCCTGGGCCACCCCTTTATAGGATAGCTCGTAGGGAGTTACAAGTTTACGGGAACAAACTTAAATCACTTCAATGACAGTGGTGGCTTCCCCCGCTGCCATATTGGAGTGATTCTTGCATTCCCATGTCATTTCATCATCAATGAACTCCTTGAGATGACCTTCCTTGACCAGCTTCTCGAGAAAAGCTTATACACTCGGTAGTCCTCGATGAGGTGTCTTATGTGTCAATGGTATGAACACTGAACAAAAGAGTTCCTCATAGGTGGGTCACCTTACATTTTCGATGGCCATTTAAAAAGACAGTTTAGTCGAGACTTTGAGGAGCCACCTTTTTTGCTTGTCTGGTCCTTCTCCTTTTTTCATGGAAGCAAACCCTTTTTCATGGGCCTTGACCTTGTCATACTCAACGTTGCGTATTTCTCTCTACGAGCTATCAGGTCCCCCATGCCGACCAAGGTGCTCTTCGTTATAGACCGATAGAGGACTGTATCCCAAGCATGCCCAACCTTGAAAGAGGCAGCCGCCATCACCTTAGTACAACCCTCTACCTCATTTACTTCCTCCCAGTATATGGTGGCATACTACCTAAGCATCTACCCCTCCTTTTTCCTTAAAGTTATGAGGGTACCAATGTTCTTCGCCCTATTTTATGCTCATGATAAATTGGGGTATGAATTTCTAGGTCATCTATCTCCATAATTTGATAGATTCAGAGAGGACGCTCTCATACCACTTCATCGTAATGTCCCTGAGGCTTATGGGAAAAACCCTTCACAGAAACTTGTCATTGGTGGCATAGAGGGGCATCAATTGCTTATACTAATGAAGGCACCCCTATAGGTCGGTCTTTTGATTGTAGATCTTGAGCTAAGGGACAACAAACTTCCTCAGTATTTCTACTTCTTAGATGCTTCAGTCAAACGAAGACTTAAAAAGCTTGTCCTTCATAGCCTCGTCCTCGTGCCACCCATGCCTAATGGGGGACTTGCCTTTAAGAGGCGAGACGAGACCACACTGCAATTCCCTATTTTTTTTCTTTGCTGCCTAGGGACAAGTCTTTATGTGTATGCTCTCTGGAGCATTGTTTGTTGATACTGAAGCTTGCCTGCCCCTTTTCGAGGAAATTTTTGCCTTGGACGTTCTAGCTAACTACTCGAACTTGTCAAGCCCATTTAGCACATTGACATTGCTGAGTTCAATCTCATGCAATCTACTGCCTAATCGTTCTTTGAACATATCTATGTGCTATTGGGAGAGGAATCCTCCCCCTCACCCTCTGAGGCTTGATCAATGTGTTGAGTACATTGTTGGGTGTTATGATGAGTATCCTCTTTTGACTACTCCACAGACTTGGTCGCCAATGAAACTGGGAGCTAATTGGTTTTCTTATTTTGTATGTTGGGGTTATCCTCCACATGGCATTGCAAACGGGCATTCACCATGATGTCACCTATGAGGGAAATGTGGTCACATCTTCCCATATATATTGTCAAATTGCACGTGAAAAAATCTATGTAATCGTTGAGGTAGCGACACCTGGCTAAGTCACGCCTGACACTCCTGAGAATGAAGTTAGAAAGGGGTTCGGACATGTATTTGGCATATCCCCTCCAATACCTAACTCAGTCAACATATAGATGAGAAGATATGGCTACTATGTAAAATGAGTTGCATGTGTGTACCTAAGGCCCAACCCTTTAGGCTATTTATACCTTAAAAGGTACTAACATAGAATCTTGTGGGTCATATCCAACCTGCAGGTTTGATAACCTTTTTGAAGTGAAACTCTGATGTGATTCCACATATACGTCGAGGTCGTCATGTTAGTAGTAGCTTCCTGCCCTTGATTCATGCATTAACTAGGCTCAGGGATAGTGTGCAGCGGCTCACGGGTTAAATGTCTTTAATGATAACTGTGCTTAGGGGCCTAAGCATTTATGAGGTCTACCAAGCATTAAATGAATGGCGTTGAGCATTCAATGACGAGCACCAAGCATTCAATGGGATGTACCCGGGGAACGACTCGACTGGTCCACGTAAGAAAGGACCATGCCTTTTTTCCTTTATGAAATGGATTTGGTGTTGGTTTCCACATGGATGTGATGACGTGGATGATCATTCTCTGTCAACCGTCCCATCAACTGCTCCTTATGACGCCAATGAGTCTCATCTAATCATTACTACTTGGGTTCGAGATATGGTATTCCCTAGGCATCCTTGTAGGTAATGGCTTCAAGGGGTCTCTTGGTCTGGCAATGCTCAAAAAATTGGAGGCACCAAGTAGGATCCACATTTGTTTTTAACTCTAAAATATATCATAATTTATTAAAAATTTATAAATAAAAGTTTGATAACATTATGGTATTTTTAATTTGCATTATATTCATTGCAAATCCCATAATTTTGTTCACTTCATAATTTTTCGCAACTTAAAATCAATATTAAGTTAGTGATTTGTTTATGTTTTTACAGTTCTTATTTGGATATTTGTTTTATATCTTATGATGTAATAAATTATTATAAGTTAAAGTAAATAGTACAAATATTTTTATTGTTATGAGTAAAATAGGAATTGAAGTAGGTTATGTACTTATTTGAAATCATTTATAAAAAAGTAGGACTTATTGGTCCTAAAGAAAATTTATAGGACTTCATGGAAATTTGGTATGTAAAATAGGACTTACTGATTATTTTCCTTATAATTAATCTATGTTGCAACTTGTATAGCTTATAACAAGCAGAGTCTCTCCACATATTTTTTTTAACAAGATCACAATCGTTTCTTTTTAGAAATCAAGTGTTTATGAGTTTATGAAATCAAAATGTCTGAATATTTATCTTAATCTCTCNCCTCCCCAAAAAAAAAAAAATAAATAATTATAGAGGTAAGTTTAATGATCAAAACAAGGCAAGCCCCACAAGTACATACTATAAGGTGAATGAACCTTTAACTGTTGTGTCATTATAGTAATCTAAAACTAAGATTTTTGGGAGTTATAATGCAGACTTTACATCTGAAACAAGAGAAGTTTTGGGTTTGGATGTTTGCTAGAACTAGCCTTCTGTTGATGCTACTATTTACCATATTTTTCAGGAATAAAGCACCGGGGACCTCCTTGCTGTATTTTGTTCTTTTCCGAGTCAAAATAAAGCATTGATCTCCTTCTTTCCTTCAAATGCATCCAATCTAGAGCTTAGATCCATCGATAAGGGTTGTTAGTAATTCTAGGGCCTTGCTCTAATGATCCTAAATCTATAATTTTTCTTTTTATGTTTATCTTCACAGTTTATAATCTTCCTGTTGAAGCCATTTAGACATCCTCCTGTGTTCTGCAGAGCGATTTTCTGTAGCAGTAGTTTGAGAGCTTCCTCTAGTCAATTCAAATTCATGATAGAGAAGTCTTTTTCACCATGAGGATGATGCAGAAATGGAATGCTAAATTGATCAGGAAGGCTGAATATGTATGGAAATAAAGCAAATACATTTCTTATGTTTATTACTTTTACAAACTAAAAAAAATCAATCAATTGAAAGTGGGAAAGATAGCTGCCAATCTACTATTTTTTATGCACATCCTTCAAGATATCAAAATCTAGGAAATCAAATGCAAAATGTTTTTTCTTTTTTTTTTGGAAAGGAAAGGAAAATGACTTCAAAAACCATAGACTGGCATATGATGAAAGGTCTATATCTGCTTAAACTCTACCAGTAAACTGCACAAATTTGGAGAAATGAGTCAAAGTCTCAGGCACTGTCATTAGGCGTTGTTGAACTGCTAACCCAAACTGCAGTAACTGAATCTGGTGAAAGAGTAAAAGGATTAGCATTCGATAATACAACATCATCTGCTAGAATATCCACCTTTTCCACGTTTTGGACGCCATAATCCTTGTTCTGAATTCCCTTTAGAACCTCCAACACTTCTCCCATGGATGGTCTCATTTCCCTCCCATTTTGTAAACATTGAAAAGCCAACTCTGCCACATCATTTACCATGTCCCTTACTTTACAGTTCGATTCAAACCCGAGAGATGGATCCACAAGCTCATGCAATGAATGATTTTTGATCTTGTTGATAGCCATGGTGGACAAATTGATTTCATGCCGATGCCTTGTGATATCAACAGCAGGCTTAGATGATATAAGCTCAATCAAGACTACCCCAAAACTATAGACATCACTCTTATCAGTAAGCTGGTAGCATTCATGATACTCAGGGTCTACGTATCCAGGAGTGCCTTGTGGAGCTGTTGAGATATGGGTGACATCGGCTGGGAAGAGTCGTGACAACCCAAAATCGGCTACTTTAACACAGAAATTGTTGTCTAAGAGAATATTGCTGGTTTTGACATCTCTATGGATGATATCAGAAGCATGAAGATATTCCAATGCACTTGCAGTTTCTATGGCAATACTCATTCGGGTAGTCCATGTGAGCGATCCAGGTTTTGATCGTTCACCGTGAAGATGATCAGCAACAGTGCCATTGGGAATATATTCGTATGCAAGTAGAAGTTCGTGACAGTGGCGTGAAGTGCAGCCATAGAGGGTGACCAGATTTTGATGGCGCAAACGTGTGAGGATCTCAACCTCATTCATGAACTGCCCTACAGTTTTGTAATTGTTCTCGTACAATCGCTTAACAGCAACAGCACGCCCATCTCGGAGTTTGCCTAGTTAAGAAAGTAACACACATTGTTAGTCATATGATGCATACAAATGAAAACAGAATTCAACAGTAGTGTTTGTTTCTTCTTACCTTGGTAAACTGTCCCATAGCCCCCATCTCCGAGTTCTTTTTTAGAATCGAAATTGTTAGTGGCTTCTTCTAGTTCTCCATAGGTGAAAATGTGTACCCCAAAATAGTTACCATCCTTTTCAAGATCAGTAATCGAAGAGGGATGCAAAGAAATGTCTCGAGAGTTAAATGAGGCAGCAGCATAACGTTTCTTGTTTCGATGCTGATAGATCAAGAAAAGAAGGCACATGAAAAGGGCACTGATTGTCGCTGCACCAAAACCTGCAACAAAACAGAGTAAATTTGCTAAGAAATAAGGGAAATTATGCATCAGAATAATGAGGACAGGTGAGAAAAAAAAAACATCTGATTTAAGGTGCATATTACCTATGCCAATCTTCAGTCCTAAATTCAATCCCTTATCTGTAATAACAATCATCAATATCATAGCAAATGTTAGTATAAAAATCAATCTATAATTTCATGTCAATATAATTTCTACGACAAGCTTAGTTTGCTGAAGGACAACTTCAAACATGAGAATTGTCAAAACCTGGCCNTTTCATGCCGATGCCTTGTGATATCAACAGCAGGCTTAGATGATATAAGCTCAATCAAGACTACCCCAAAACTATAGACATCACTCTTATCAGTAAGCTGGTAGCATTCATGATACTCAGGGTCTACGTATCCAGGAGTGCCTTGTGGAGCTGTTGAGATATGGGTGACATCGGCTGGGAAGAGTCGTGACAACCCAAAATCGGCTACTTTAACACAGAAATTGTTGTCTAAGAGAATATTGCTGGTTTTGACATCTCTATGGATGATATCAGAAGCATGAAGATATTCCAATGCACTTGCAGTTTCTATGGCAATACTCATTCGGGTAGTCCATGTGAGCGATCCAGGTTTTGATCGTTCACCGTGAAGATGATCAGCAACAGTGCCATTGGGAATATATTCGTATGCAAGTAGAAGTTCGTGACAGTGGCGTGAAGTGCAGCCATAGAGGGTGACCAGATTTTGATGGCGCAAACGTGTGAGGATCTCAACCTCATTCATGAACTGCCCTACAGTTTTGTAATTGTTCTCGTACAATCGCTTAACAGCAACAGCACGCCCATCTCGGAGTTTGCCTAGTTAAGAAAGTAACACACATTGTTAGTCATATGATGCATACAAATGAAAACAGAATTCAACAGTAGTGTTTGTTTCTTCTTACCTTGGTAAACTGTCCCATAGCCCCCATCTCCGAGTTCTTTTTTAGAATCGAAATTGTTAGTGGCTTCTTCTAGTTCTCCATAGGTGAAAATGTGTACCCCAAAATAGTTACCATCCTTTTCAAGATCAGTAATCGAAGAGGGATGCAAAGAAATGTCTCGAGAGTTAAATGAGGCAGCAGCATAACGTTTCTTGTTTCGATGCTGATAGATCAAGAAAAGAAGGCACATGAAAAGGGCACTGATTGTCGCTGCACCAAAACCTGCAACAAAACAGAGTAAATTTGCTAAGAAATAAGGGAAATTATGCATCAGAATAATGAGGACAGGTGAGAAAAAAAAAACATCTGATTTAAGGTGCATATTACCTATGCCAATCTTCAGTCCTAAATTCAATCCCTTATCTGTAATAACAATCATCAATATCATAGCAAATGTTAGTATAAAAATCAATCTATAATTTCATGTCAATATAATTTCTACGACAAGCTTAGTTTGCTGAAGGACAACTTCAAACATGAGAATTGTCAAAACCTGGCCAATCAGATCTATCGACTATAACAACTTAATGATCTAGTCTGTATCCTAGTTCTTATTTACTGGTTCTGAGATAACAAGAATCGAGATTGCATACGAAAGTAGGATGCGCAACTTACTCAAATTTATGATAAAGAAATAACAAAAAAAAGTCAGAAATAGTAGTTCTCATAGGTCTTATGATGTCGAGTCTAGACCATAGTAGGTAACAATTACCAAATGATTATTATTATTATTTTTGCATTTTTATTTAATCTTGAATATGGCAAGATGAGTGACCCAAAAACTTGTTTCTATCACTAGTAATAAAAATAGGAAAAATCAAAAAAATTATTAATTAAAACAGGTGACAAATTTCTGTTTAATTTACCATGGTTACAGGTGAATTTCTTATTGTCAGAATCACAACTCCCACCACTGCTCCGGCAGTTCCTACAATCAACTGCATCCCATTGCAAAACAAACCCCTTCTTCAAAATACCAGTGAAATTTATATCCAACAGTCTGCTAAGATCATCAGTCTCCACAGGTGCATTAACATAATCTTGGCATGACTCTGCTGAATAATTCCGGTACCTCAAGAGATCAGCATGGAAAACAGCAAAAGCGTGATGAGTAGCGTTGCTGCCACAATCAACTGCATACGTCGCATTTTCATAGGGCACGGTGCAATTATAGAAGAAGGAGAGATTCATGGTGGCAGGACCATAGTTAAAAGGAGTCTTTTCTATGCTAAAATTGCGCTTAGGGAGTGGGCATTCATTATCCCCATCATAGAACTCAGCTTTCACTAACAGAAGCGAGTTGTTTGTGTAAAATATATCCTTGATGATGTAATCATCATCAGAAAATATGCGGGTCGGATAATTGCCTTTACAAGTGACATTGAATCCTGGGGAGCCACAGTTTGATTCTTGTTGCTGAGGAATCCAAAAAGGGTAGCTTATATTCGGTCCATTACCGCAGTTTTGAGGCCCACAGGCACTGTATTTTGAGTTCACGGATAGAGATTCAACCAATGAGGTGGTAAAGAAGAAGAAGGAAATGAANAGGAATCCAAAAAGGGTAGCTTATATTCGGTCCATTACCGCAGTTTTGAGGCCCACAAGCACTGTATTTTGAGTTCACGGATAGAGATTCAACCAATGAGGTGGTAAAGAAGAAGAAGGCAATGATAGGAACATTGTGAAACATATTTCTGGATATGAGGAGGCTTTGGAGATCCATTTGGGGAAGAAGAAAGCAGAAAAGGCCAGGAGAGAAGATCAGCTTTGGAGGGAACTACTAGGTGAAAAAACACTCTATGTGGTTGGTTTGACTTGGTAGTTTTGGAGTCTTTTTATACACTAGTTCCAACTTTGTTCTGTTTCAGCTAATAATTAGAGGTTTGATAATGGTGCTCTAAAGGAAGGAAAAAAAAATTGATTCAAGACTTAAAGCAACAAAAAGAGACCCGCTTGCTTCTTCCACCAAACCTCAGAGTAAAAGATTTGACAATCAATTAGTGTGTCCACTGTGGTAATACTTGTGGGCATAGAAATTTTCATTATTTCAATAATGATTGTATTCGACTTCTTGTTTCCATCAATAAGACTAATGCTCCGTTCGAAACCTATCCCATTCTTTGAACAAATTCTTGATTTCCGCCAGCAAGCTTAATTGCAATAAAACAAACACAACGTAAACGGAGGATAAATAAAAACAAAATTAAATAGAACACAACGAAAATCGACCTAAAAACAAATAAATGGTCCTTTTGATTAAGCCAAAGTTTGTCACATTGCAAATNATTATCCATTGATAACCCTAGCTAAAAGAGGGTTGTGTGGTATAATACCAATTTTGATGAAGTATTGAACAAGCTTTTTAACTACTCCGTTGATTGGGTTACTGTAGATAGCCTTAAGAATGCAAGAGAATAATAACTCCACAGACTCACGCAAAACAAGAAATACAGAGTAAAAGGCCCTAAATAAGAATAACTGGGCCAAGGTGAGTTTGGAATAGAGCTCCCAAGATTACTGTTGAATCAAAGTAGAGACGCAGGCTAATTTGCCCAAGCTAGGCTTTTTTGGTTGGACCTAACCCCCATCTGAGAATTTGATTTCCAATTCCCATTACCTGACCACGATCCACCAACCCCCCAACACACAATACAACCTCCCCCAACCCCTAAAGCTGTACTTTTTTTAGCCCACGAGAGACTCTCTGGCCCTTATTTTTAATATATTACTTTTAATGAATGACAATGTTACNACAATACAACCTCCCCCAACCCCTAAAGTTGTACTTTTTTTAGCCCATGAGGGACTCTCTGGCCCTTATTTTTAATATATTACTTTTAATGAATGACAATATTATGTTATACTATAATAATGCAAAGTGAAAGTAATTTCAGTTAATTAATAAAGAGATTTTAGGCTAGAATTTACTGTTAATAGAGGGGAAGAGAATTCTAGATAGGGTCAATTACATACAAACGTAAGAAAGATAAATTATAATTATGTGGAAGAGATTTTAGGAAAGAAAAATTATAATTATGTGAGAGAGATTTTAGGAAAAGAAAAGAATATGTTGTTTAAAATTCATTATCCCATTAAAATATGAAAGTTTTAATTCATTTTTGAAAAACTGTGANTGTTGTTTAAAATTCATTATCCCATTAAAATATGAAAGTTTTAATTCATTTTTGGAAAATTGTGGNAATTCATTATCCCATTAAAATATGAAAGTTTTAATTCATTTTTGAAAAACTGTGATTTGTGTATGGTTGAAAACTAAATGAATTTTGAGGAAGTTTTGTTCAAATTTTGAAAATTCGAGTTTTGAGACTTTGATTAGTGGCCGGATCTTGTGGAGATGGTGAATGGATCCGGTGGTTTCCAAAGACAAACAAGTGTCTGTTAAGTTACCTCCTTGGGTGTTTTTGGAACCAAAAAAAAAGAGGATTTATCNAACAAGTGTCTGTGTAAGTTATCTCCTTGGGTGTTTTTGGAACCAAAAAAAAGAGGATTTATCCACAAAATATTTTAATCGAAAAAATTTTATGCAAACAAATCCTATATAGGGTACCAACCTAAAAAAAACCCTTCATTCAAAATACTACAAAAAATGAGTGTTGAAATAGATAGCTAGTTGAGAGACAATATGACAAAAGTCATTAACACCAGGCGCTAAGTTAAATTAAAAAAACTGTAAGAGGACAAACTATAATTTATCCTAAGAAGGTATATTCCGGGCACTTTCTTCCGTAGACCGTGGGCAAAAGCAAGGACAAATTGCTACCTAAAAACTCATTACTTTTCAAGATAAGGTCATTTTGACCATTCTACGGTTTGACTTTTTCTAAGATCGAAGACTGCAATGGTATAAAAGGGACGGGAATATGGGACCAAAATTTGGCTATATCAAAATTTATTCTATTTGTGGTAATTTTTATCATTTTTATGTGAAATTTTATCACATTATAGTATAAAAAAATAATAAAAATAATTACCATTACAATAGTAAAAATTCTCATAAATATGATAAAAATAATTACAATAGTAAAAATTCTCATAATATGATAAAAATAATTACAAATGCTGTAAATTACTCACAAAAATAATATTTTTTTTTGTACTTAAGAAAAGTGATAAAAATAATTATCACAAATATAATAAAAACTCTCAAAACAATAATAAAAATATTTATAAAAATGAAAAATCAACCACAAAGGATAAATTTTTTAATTGTAAATAATTCACAAAAATTTTGAAGACATTGCATCCAAATTTTTTTTTTGGCTGTTCCATTGTCGTGTCCGTATGAAAAATATGGAACCTGAATGCACACCATCTTTGACTTAGTAAGAATGTCCAAATTTACAAGATATCTCTCGCACGAGGGACCCACTATGCTAAGATATCATCTTAATTCTCATATTATTAAATAATATAATTTGAGTGCCTTAGAAAGAATTGACTGACTCAATTGTACGATACCAAAACGAGTGGTTGAAATTTTGGTATTTTATTTGAGGTTAAGTTCAATTAGGAAAATTTAATTTATTTTTTAATTTAATTAAAAAACTATTTTATTTTATTTTATTTTTTAATTTAATTATATTTTATTTTATTTAATTTTTTAATTTAATTACGATTCTAATTTCTTAGTTGGTTTAGGGTTTCACTATTATTTAAACTCTTGTCAACGGGCTATAAAAATTTTTACTTGATTAATACAATTGAGACTTTTCTTTTTAATTCTTCTCGAATTTTTTGTGAATCAATAAATTAATTGAAGCTTTTAGATTGTTATTTTTTGTGAATTAACAGTTCTATAGTAGGATTTTAATTCAGTATTTATGCACAAATTAACGGTTTAGTTTCACTAGGCTCTTTCGTTCGTTATCCAACTTTATTCTATCCGCTACCATGCAACAAATATCATATAAAAAATTGATTTTTGCCATTCATTTTACTTTGATTTAATTGTGGCCATTGATAGTAAAATTTAAAAAATAAATAAATTTTATACGTATTGCATCAAAAGAGAAGTTACGCTTTGGGTACTGTAGTGGGATCCATCAAACTGTAGTTAACTTAATTAGAAAATAAATTGTGGTAAATATGAAAATGCAGCGCAAATGAAGAACATACCTTGTTCCGGGCACATGAACGGATGAGCTTCAATGTTTTTACAAAGGCATGAAGGCTGTGTAGAATTCGTGCCAGACCAACACAACCCACCGGATTTCTGACAAGCCGAACAAAACTCCTCTATCCGATACTCCACGTCAAAACCCTCATTCAATAGTTCCAGCAATTCAATGGTCTCATTCGGTGTGAATCTCTGAATAGCCCTCCGAAGAACAGGAACGGTCATAGTACGCTCACATGGCTGAAATTCCGGTAACTGAACCGACGAAAACGATTCGTCAGCGTAAAAGCCAACCCTCTCTGAACCACGCATCATGCAAGTAAATCTATTCCTAACAGATATATTAAGGCTGCGACCTCGGCAATCATAGAACACGTTGAGATTTCGAACGTCTGGACCGTAACTAAAGAGGGTGTCATCTAGAATCGAGTAATTGAAGTTGTCCAGACAAATATCGTCCCAGAGATCGGTAGGAGCAATGGTGACCAAGTGAGTGGATGAGTTGATGCTTAGGAGACGAAAATTCTGATTGTTTATGTCTATGGTGGTGTAATTATTGATATTGCAAGTGAGTTGAAACCCGGGAACGCCGCAGAACGGAGGGCGGTTGGCTCCCCAGAAAGGGTAGCTAACGTTCTGAATGGTTGCGCCACAGTGGTAGCGGGTGGTGTCGCAGATTGTGTACTGGTCATCGTCGTCGCCATTACAGGTCGGAAAAGTGATGAGGATGAAGATGATGGTGGCGATGGAGTGGTGGAGAAGGGGAGAGAGGAAGAGTTGGCGATGCATTTTTAAATGGAAGGTGGATTGGTTTGAGGGGTGTGGTTTATTGCAGGTTGTTTTTTATCACAGGAGTACAATAGTCAAAGGAATGAAATAGATAGAAATGTTCCTAGGGTGCTCTGTTGAAAAATAGTGGAAAAATTATCGATAAATGTTATTTTTTCTTATAATAAATATTCATTAAATACACTATGTTGTATATCAACTATTATTTAATTTAATTTTATATTTTTTTAGAATGAATCAGTTGTCATATTTTTTTGACATGAGTTAATTTACTTTTTGATACGAGTTAAACCACAAAAAATCAAAATATATATGAATGAATAGGAGAATACTAATGTTATAGCTTCAATATTTTAAGTGTCAATATATGATCAAGAGAACGATAGAATTAGAACAAAATATAGTATTTATGAAAATTAGAACTTCATTCAAAAAAATTGCCAAGAGTAGGCTTCGNGGGTTGGACTTTAATACATAAATTGGACTATTTGGACTTAACCCATCAGGCTTCATTGACATAAAAAAATAATGATAGAACTTAATAGATATTTGGGCAAAAAAATAATACTTGTTAGTAATTTTTTCAAAAATATTACGCTTGGTTTGGTTGCCGTATTAGAGCAGTAAGAGAGGGCACTACAGAGTCATATAGGATTAAAATATTTTAATTCAGGTATATATAACATTTGAATTTCAAAAGAATTTATAAACAGGACGGAATCAAATGTGTACACCAATTGTATATTTTTAATACCATCAACTGGTGCTATTAAGCCAATTTTAATAGAGCAATTAATTCATTACGACATTTTAATTGATTGTGGATGTCATCAAACATTAAGACTTGATATTAATTTAATGATTTCAATGAAATCACATCATTCGGTCAACAAATTAGGTTATATTTTTTTAGTTCAAATAGCATTACTCATTTTAATATCATTTGGGAGTTGGTATTATAATTCAATCTAAAAATATTATGTTGTTATTTTATATGAAAATTAAGGGTGAGTTTTTCCATATGAACTTATAATGACTTGAGTCTGGTAAAGAAATTTATTTTAGGTAAATTCATGTTTAAATATATATGTAGGTACTTAAGTCCACTTATTTTTTAAATCTCAAAATTACCCCTAGCAGAGTTAGTTTTGTCAAGTTATGAAAAGTCACATATGTTAGATCATTGAGGTATATATGTAAACTCTTGATTGAGTTATATATGAAAACCGTTTATTAAATATTATGATAATTAACGAAAGTTTTATATAGAAGTTATATATTCTGAAAATTATATATGGAAAGTTTACTGTACGAATAAATTGTTGGTCTATTAAGTCAAAATCAGATCACAAAATTTTATTAACAATAGTCATGCATAATATAAGGAGGCTGAACAATGTCAATAGATGTGTACACCAATCGTATATGTTTAATACCATCAATTGGTAATATTAAGCCAATTTTAATAGAGCAATTAATTTATTATGACCTTTGAATTGACTGTAGGCTCCATCAAATATTAAGACTTGATATTAATTTAATGATCTCAATGAAAGCACATCATTAAGTCAGCAAATTATATCATATTTTTTAGTTCAAATAGTATTATTCATTTTAATATCATTTGAGAGGTGGTATTATAATTCAATTTAAAAATATTACGTTGTTATTTTATTGTTTTATCCATGAAACTATAGTAACCCACACAACTCACGTGAGTCTCAACTTCCTCGTCAATTCACGTCTAGTTCAAATTAAGGGTATTTTGGTCAATGCAATACTAATACCACAAGACTCATAGATTAAGCAATCGTAAAATTAAACAAAATAACTGTTATCTAGATGTTAATTCGATGTTAAACTAAATGCAAGATAGAATAGGAAATATTTTTGTCCTCTATTCAATCTTATATTTTATTCATCTATACAAGATTATTAATCTAGTCTCTTTTTTTTTAATCACTATGACAAGCAAAACGAGAACTCAAAAAAATAATAATTAGTCACAAAATGTGATGGGACTTTTCTGAAATACTCCATGATGAAGACACGTGTTCTCGGTATTACCAAAACACTGTTGCTAAGATCAAGCACCATCGGTGCATAAAGGTCCTCGCCCCCGAGGTACTCGTCATATAGGATCATGGCATTCAGTACGTTTTACAACCAACACGTGGCCTCGGTCTGATATGGTACCTCGGTCGGTATCCCTCCCTCGGTTCCGAGATGAGCCTTTCCTCGGTGCCGAGGCGTACCCCGTCCTGGACGCCTCCTCTACTCCAGGATAAGCTATTGACGTACAGGTCATTAGCCTAGACTAGTCTAGGCTATTCATCATGACCTCGTCTTACACAATTAGTGTCAGAACGTATTGGAATGCAGAGGTCACAGCCAATAGGGGATGGACGTGTGGCGTATGATATCACATCGAAGACAGAGAAACCGCGCGCCGTTGCTGACACGCGACTTGGGAAAGCAAACGATTAATTACACCATTCCCTTGATGAGACCGCATTCAATGCAGTAAGGCTCAGAAATGAAAGGCAATAAATGCTCATAATACAGAGCATTTATTGCATCCTCCCCGAGAGGAGTACATTGTACCGTCGGCATCCCGATGACCCAGCATTAATTGCTCGGGACCCCGAGCAGTTAAGAAGAGAAGACATTCCTTATCAGAATCAGTGCGCACATTGCCTGTACCTAATGATTACCTATTGACTACACTGACAGCAATCATGAGCTTTTGAGGTATAAATACTCCTTGCAAAAGGCAAGACGGGTATGCAACAAAAAACTCTTTACCACAATACACACTCAGTGTTTTCTCCTTCCTCTCTCTCTCTCTCAAAGACTGACTCGATCGTCGGAGGGGATACACCGGAAAACACTCTGGCGCCCTTTTAACTTGTTCTTCTTTGTTCCAGGAACCCCTTTCCNAAAAAACGAGAACAGATCTCTCCCTTGGTGAACTCTGATTGAGTCAGCTGAGTTCAACCATGCTGTTTGGGACAGCCAGTGAGATCCGGTGGTAACCTGGAACAGCAATGGGAGACCCTCGTGAATTGAAGGAACCTTTCCCCAGCCTTACTGGATCATTCCTTCAATTCACGAAGATCTCCCGTTACCGTTCCAGGTTATCACCGGATCTCACTGGCTGTCCCAAGCAGCGTGGTTGACCACTCAGCTGACTCACTCAAAGTTCACCAAGGGAGAGATCTGTTCTCGTTTTTTATATTGTGCAGGATCTTGCACGTACAATCTGGCGCCGTCTGTGGGAAACGACTAGTTTTCTTAGTTTTTTCTCCATAAAGAACAGTGACCATGGTGAACACTCGACAGAAAGGGAAAGGACCCCACCAAAGGAGTCTTGAGTTACAAGCTCCCTGTCATCACGGAGGGAGGGATCACACCAATACGAATAAAAATGCCTCTACTCGGTCAAGAGGGGTTACCCCTCAAACCAGTATGGGAATCAGGTCAGGGGGATCAACCCCCCTTGGCTCGTCAGCTGGCGGAGGTGATTGAAGAAAAGTTTGGCGATAGATTACGACAGCTGGAAAAGGACAATGTAAACGTCCTAAGCCGGCTCAACGAGTTTGCCGCCTCTGGCGAAGGGTCGAGGGATTCATTCCTTTCCCGTGGGCTTCCCGCCCGGGAGGCGGAAACGAAGGATCTAAGAAACCACCTAAACAACAAAGCAGAAAGCTCTAGGGCCCCAAAGCGACCCAGAGCCGGCGAGCATCATCATGACAACCATTCAAGGAAAGCAAGGCCATTGGCCCTGGACGACCTCCGGCGAGGTTTGTCTAGACGGAGGAAGGGAGATGAATCCGAGGAGGACTCAACCCAATCCACACGACGCCCAGGAAATGAGGGGCTTACCGATGAACTCAAGGACTTCAGAAGGCATCCCGTCAGGGAAAAAATTGATCTCAGAGCCCGGTTAGACTCCAGGAGAAAGGGTAAGGCTGTCCAGGATGAGGCCGAGGACGAAGTCATACAAACACCCTTTACGAGGGAGATCGGTGAGATGGAGGTTTCAAGAAAGTTTGTCGTGCCGCGGTTCAAAACTTATGACGGGCGGTCCGATCCCGAAGCCCATGTCAGGCAATACAAGCAGATGATGTCCCTCTATCATTCGGACCAACGGTTTCTCTGCCGAGTGTTTCCTATGAGCTTGGGGGACTCTGCGATGAAGTGGTTCGAGGCGCTTCCCCCCAACAGTATTGGGTCATGAAAGGAATTGACGAAGCAGTTCCTGGCTCGATTCATTACAGGGAGTAAGCGCCCCAAAGACATTGGATCATTGCTGACCCTCAGAAGGAGGGAATTCGAGACTCTTTGCCAGTACGCCATCCGATACTGGGAAGAGGTTAATGAGGTAGAAGGTTGCTCAGAGGTCATGGCAGCAGCATCTTTTCGGCTCGGCTTGGTAAGGGACACGGACCTGTACCGATCCCTGACCAAGAAGACTCCCTCGGATATGGGGGAACTAATGGCCCGGATAAACAAATACTCGAGGGTTGAGGACGAGATGGGAAGCAGCAAAGGCCGAGCCCTCCAATCTAAGAGAAAAGAGAAGGAGCGGGAAGATATTCCCCGAAAGGGATTGCTACCCCCTCCAGGGGGTCCGTCCAAAGGAATTCACACTGTGTTCAAGGAACCCATCTTCAAG